GTGTACCTGAAATATGACCTGGTCCTTATCAAGATGTGCTGTACAGATAATGAATTTAGAAGACTCTGTATAAAAAATGTAGTATCTCAGTGTTATATTGATTCAATATTTAGTTAAATATGTTGAGCTAAATGAACTCTTACAGAAATTTATTTCACCTGTTTCTTTTTACTTGTTTTGCTTTTTTTTAGCAGCGGTACTGGGGTTTGAACTGAGGACTTTGCACTTGCCAGGCAGGCGCTTTACCACTTGAGCCACACTTCTAGCTGTCCTTTTACTTTTTTAACGTGGCTATTAGAAAAATTTAAATTTTAACGTGGCTTATATTACATTTCTGTTGCATAGCACTAAGCTCAAATATGATAGCTTTCCTGTTAAAATGAAAATGTGAGCTGAGGAATTCTGATCTGAGAAAAATCATGATGAAGACAAGTTCATAAACTTTTAACTTTAAAAAGTTTTGTAAAAACAGAAAAACTGGAATCACAAAGAAAACAAATTGACAGGCTCTTCAGCCAAAGTAGATAAGGAGGTAGCGTCACACACCCCAGAATACAGGTTGGTGGGGATAGTGGAACCTGCACAGATCTCATGTGACAGAAGGAATAGAAAAGGAAGTCCAGAAACAAGGAGGTCATCAACACTTCCCAAAGGGAGAGGACATTACCTTGACTGGAAACTTGCACAATTTGATCTGAGAACAGCTAGCAAAACTGCTTCCAGACTCACACTCAGACCCTGGGGTCACGCTAAGAGGCCATAGGAAGATTCAAAATGACTGTGGTGTAATCTGAGAGTTTTAGAAATTTCCAAGGAAAGCTGCTTTTGAGAAAGTAAGAGTCTAGTAAGTTTTAAAGAAGTGGCGCCAAGATAGAATCCCAATTAAGAGGGTAGAAACTTGAAGTTTGAAAAGAAAAGAAAGTTTGTATTCAAGATAGGATATATAGGAGGTAGATTTCAAAACAGCAGTTATAACTGGGAAGGTGGAAGGGAGAGAGAGTAAGGAGGGAAGGAGGAAGGAAAGAAGGAAATGGGAGAAAATACAGGTAACTCATGCCCAGTTCTGTGTGTATGCATGCATATGTGCAGAGAGAGAAACATCCTACAAACCAGTAACTCTGAAGATAGGCCAGAAACTTTAACAGGCACTTCACAATCGACAGTACTCAAATCATCAGTAACTGTTTAAGGAGAATGACTTTCTTAGTAATCAGGAAGGATTAATTAAAACTACAAGAGCAGGCTCAGGACTGTAATCCTAGCTACTCAGGAGGCAGATCAGGAAGATCGTGGTTTGAAGCCAGCGTGGGCAAATAGTTCATGAGACCCTGTCTTGAAAAGATCCATCACAAAAAAAGTACTGGTGAAGTGGCTCAAGGTAAAGGCCCTGAGTTCAAGCCCAAGCACTCCAAAAAAAAAAAAAAAAAAACTACAAGAGAATGCCATTACATCCCTACCAAAATGGCTAACATTAAAAAGACTAGCAATCAAGTTAAGGCAAGGATGTGAAGCTGTTAGAATTCTCATACATGGTGGACATGTCAGTTTTAAAATCATTTAAAACACTTTTCAAGGTTTTCTGCTGAGGATTAACATATAATTGCCCTCTATATCTGTGGGTTCTATAGCTGTACATTCCATCAACCATGAATTAAAAATATTCAGAAAATGATTTGTCTCAAACTCATACTTTTTTCCTGGTCTTTATTCCCTAAACAATACAATATAACAACTGTTTCCATAACATTCTCATTGGATTATAACTACAAGTAATCTAGAGATAACTTAAAGTGTCCAGGGAGATGAGTTTAGGTTAAATGTAAATGTTAAGCCATTTGATATTAAAGACTGGAGCATTTGTGAATTTTGGTATCTTCAGGGGTCTCAGAACCATTCCCAAGGCACTCTGTAACCCAGCAGTTTCCCTCCTAGATACATTATAGTCAAGAGAAGTGTATTCAATATGTATCAAAGACATGTTGTAGCATACCATTTTAATGGTTAAAAACTGGAAACAGGGCCTGCAGAGTGACTTACATGGTAGAGCACCTGCCTAGCAAGTGTGAGACCCTGGGTTCAAACCCCAGTACCACCAAAAAATAAAACAAAACGTAGGAACAGCAGAGTTGTCCATCAAAAAATAGAATGAGATTGATAAATTATGATGTATTTATTTATTGAATACCACATAAAAATGAAAATGAAGTACAGCATAAATGAATTTTATGAACATACTTGTGAAATTAAAAGCCAGACATAATGAATATACACTATATGACTCCATTTGTATAACATTCAAAAACAGGCAAAACTGTAGTTGATATTGGAAGTCAGGGTATTGCACTGATGGTCTCCTTTGGGGGTGAATGTGGGGATAGTGGAAGGGAGTTCACAAGAGGATCCTGAGATATTAGTATTTCCCTGGTTTTGTTTTTTTTTTTTTTAATCTGGGTGGCAGTTATATGGGTATATTTATTTTCACTAATATGTTATTTATGTACTTCTGTGATGTAAGTTTGTACATGAATAGAAGAAGCATATAGTACCACAGTATTTTTATTATATCATATCTTGGTTTGGTTCTTGGTTTAACCCCTTTTTTCCTCCATGTCTTAGGCCGTCTCTGACTGGTTATTTCCCAAGCAGCAGTCCTTGACATTCTCTTCTTCCTACAACTTAGTCTTAGGCTGTTAGTTCACATCTGTGCTCCTACTTCCAACTCAAGTCCCAACTTTTTACTTGTTTTGTTTGTTTGTTTTTAATTGTTATTTCTAACATTCTGGTGGTATAGTTCTTCTAGATCATATTATGGTTTACACAGAGATCAGCATGTCTGAAACTTAAAACTCATCCTCTGTCTTCCTCCTGTCTAAATAAGCTGCTATCCTATTATGTTTCCATCAGTGGCTTTACTTTTCTCTAAACTTGAAATATTTTAGTTTTGACCTGATTTTCCACTAGATGTCCACTGTGCTAAGCAACACTATGTTCCTAACAATGTTTTCAGCATGCATTGTAAAAGCTTTTATTTCTATTTACAAAGTTACCGTGCTAGCATATCATTTAGACAGCTACAGTAGGGTGTGGCTGCAGTATCCTTTACCTTCTTACCTGCAAATATGTTGTTAAAATGTCATTGAGAAAATGTTTCAAAATTATGTAGTGACAGTGGTTGTACAACTGTATGAATATACTAAAAACCACTTACATGTAGACTTTAAAAGAGTGGATTTTATAGTATTGAATTATATCTCAATACAGGCATTATTAGAAATAAAAATAAAAATGTCTTTGAAAGAACATGTAGTAATTTTAATTACAGATTAAATGTTGGTTCTGGTTTATTATGTAATGCCATTCATTGTATCCAGGCCTCAGCTTTCCTATCTGATCTTACCCAGTCTGTCAGCATGCCATCCATCCAAATAGTCTTATCTCTGTAGTATCATTTTCATATCCTATAAGTGCTTTCATATAAAATAGTAATTATATGAGAATAATTGAAGTTACGAATATTATTCTTGTTTTAAAATTGAGGAAACTTGATTGGAGATAGAATATTTTAATTCAGAGTCACAGCTAGTATTAGAATCCATTTCATCTTCACAGGTTCTTACTGAGCATCTTTTATGTTCTAGGCACTTGTTGATGCGGGTGAGATATAGAGACCTATTCCATTCTTTTGGTCCCCATACTCAGAATTTGCCTAATACGCTCCTGGTGTTTCTCCACCTGTGTCTTTGCTAGTCTTCTTCTAATCTTTAGATTTTGTCATTGCTTCTATTTTGTCCATGTTTTCATTTTCCTTAAAATCCCTTCTACTCTTACTTTGAGTATGAATCTTTTCCTTACTGTTCTTGAGGCCATCCTTTGCTTAGAATTCCTTGTTACTGGGCCAGTTATATATCTATAATTTGCTACATTTCTGTTTGGTTGGCACATGTGTATTTATCATTCCAATTGATGTGAAAGCTTCTCAAGGACATAAGTAATTGTCATGTATAACTTTTAAAGTGTTAATCTACAATTTTTTTATACCAGCATAGTTCATGGCCCTTCAGTTCTCAATAAAATTATATTAAGTTGAATAGGAAACAAAGGTGTTGTCTTGATCTTTAATACTGGTTAGTTGGGAAGACCAAACCCAAGAGTCACTCCTGTGTACAACGGTAAATCAGTGTGTTGCCAACTGTGCAAAAATAAAAAACTTCCATTCCAGTGGGTAAGTGGTCCTGATGAGTTGTTCTGCTACTTGTAACTGAAAACCACAATTAATTCAGATCCTTAAACTCACTTCAGGTCTCAGTAGTTGATTCTTTAGTTCTTAAAATAACTTTACTAGATGGTGAGTAGGCTGGTTTAGTCTAATAGTCTCTGGTTTGAAGACAGAACATTGTTTATTGGCCTTTCCTCTAATGTGCTATTAATGTGTGTACCACCATAATACATATTGTCTGTACAGGATGATGAACCATCCTTAGTTGTGTTTTTCATAAGCTTTGAACATAAAGGTGAAACACTTTATTTTTTGCTTACTTGAAGTAAGCAAAGTAAAATGGAAGTAGCATTCCATGTTATTGGAAGATACTGTTCATAGAAGAATTCTCTTACCACTCAGATATCTCACTTATATTTCACATCAGCTTAGATGGGTATCTCATTCAATTAATAGTCTTCTAAACTGGGCAGTAGTGGCTCACACCTGTAATCTTAGCTACTCAGGCAGAGATCAGGAGGATTGCAGTTTGATGCCAGCCTGGGCAAATAGTTCATGAGACCCTATCTCGAAAAAAACCAAACACAAAGCAGGGCTAGTGGAATGGCTTAAGGTGTAGTCCCTGAGTTCAAACCCCAGCACTGCAAAAAAAAAAGAAAGAAAAATTACAGTCTTCTAGTACTTTTGTATGTATCTCAAAGATAGCCTCTGTCATTCTTGAATAATTATTAGAAGCAAAATAAAGGAAATTAAAAATGCTTAATGTTTTCTATTGCTTTATAAGGCCCAGTTGGTGGATCTGAGATCTGAACTGACAGAGACCCAAGCAGAGAAAGTTGTATTGGAGAAAGAAGTGCATGATCAGCTTTTACAGTTGCACTCTATTCAGCTTCAGCTTCATGCTAAAACTGGTCAAAGTGTTGACTCTGGTACCATTAAGGCAAAGTTGGTAAGTAGTTTACATGTACTTGCATGAATTTTGGAGAGTGCGGAGGACAATTTTTATGAATTTTTAATTATAAAACATTAAATGTTCTCATTGTGGGAAATTTAGAAAATATAAAGTCATCATGTTCATCCACAGTCTCATTACCAAGAGATCATCAGTGGTATTAATAACCACCCGATAGAAGAAAATTTTTTCTATTTATAAGTATTTGTATAAATATGTTTAAGGCATTTGTGACTATAACCTACACAGTTTTTGTTCTACTGTATCAGTTAGGATTAAATTCAGTTGCATATAACAGAACCCAAGTAACAGTGGGATTGTTCTTAAAGAGTATTTATTTTTCTCAGAGAACCCTGAGGCAGGCATTCCAGAGCGATAAAGGCAACTCCACAGATACTATGGATCCAGTTGATCCATAGAGCACAAATATTGTTGTGCTCTGCCATTTTTAGCTCATGGTTGCCATCCTCAGAATTTCTTTGTATTCCCGGCAGAAGAAGGAGCAACCTAGGGGAAGACAAAATCATTCTTCTCAGCTGTGTTAACCTTCTTGAAGAACTTTGTCCTCCTTAATAATTTCTGCCATCATTTCATTGCCTGTCTGTAGTTGCATGTCAGTCTCCTAGTTGGTCATATCACCACCTCCAGTAAAACTAGAGTTCTGTTAAGAAAAAGGGGAAGGGGCTGGAGGTATGGCTCAAGTGGTAGAATACCTGCTTTGCAAGCTCAGAGTCCTGAGTTCAAACTCCAGTCCCACCAAAAAAAAGAAGGGGAAGGGAAGTGAAATTGAGTACGAGCAAGTTTCCTTCGGTCTTGGTAGATTATAAGCATTTTCTCTTCATTGAACACTTTGCAACGTCCATATATTGTTTCATAATATGAATACCATAATTAGCCATCAGTTTCTTAATTAATATAAGGTGTTTTAAGTAGAAAAGCACATTTTTTAGGTCTCACTTCAATTTAACATCATGTATTGATTGTATACTATGTGCCATACATTTTGTTAACTATATGGATCAATAAATAAGATATATAGCTTTGAAGAAGCAGGACATGAAATAGTGTTGATGGTTTACTTAGTTTTAATTAATTTTGTTTGATTTCTAGTACTGATATTAGAATGTATTTGAGTAAATATTTATATTCTCCTTAAGTCCTCTTAAATTCTGAACGTCTATGAATCTAAGTAGTATTTTATTTAACTGAAATAGAAGTCAGATCATAACTGCTTCTTTGAGATATTTGATATTAACATGGAGAAACAATCTACATTTTCATTAGAAAATAATTTACCTGATGTTTTAACATTTAATTTGAAACAGAATACTGTAGAGGAAAGGATACTGAAACCATTGTGTTAACTAATTTGATAAAAGTTTTAGAATCTAATACTACAGTTACTATTATTTATAGAGTTGAAAATATATTTGTTTTAGTGAACTTTACCCAAATGATACTCAACATGGAAATTTTCCTTATAATGATTATAACACTAGATAAATTCATTTGTTTGATGGTTTTCTAATTATAAAACTTTTCTCTTATATCTTAAGTCTGTCCCCTCTGTGGAGGAGCTGGTAAGCATGTCATTTGTGTTTTGCTCTAATATGTCGTGCTGCTGAAGTGTTCTTCTGTTTTATATTTGCATAATAAATATTGTAATATTTGTGTAATATATTTGTCACTCTTTATATCTGAAAGTGATGGTAATGTTGGTAGTTTATCAGTGTTCAAATACCTGAAAAGCTCAGTGAATGGCCCACTGTGCTTTTCTCGCTGCATGTTGTTACTTGGTTTGTGTTATATAGCCATTATTTTCAGACTCTTATTAGTTTTTGACAACTTTGAACCTTAAAACTTCCTCAGACCTCTACTTTAGAAAGGCATTTGGTTCACCCACATGAAAGTATTGGCAGTATATCAAGCTGGCCTAGTTTTTAACTCCCTCAAGTTTCTATTTGAATTTATTCCTCCAAAAAAGAACATGCATATGGGTTACTTCTTCATCCACTGCATGTGTTAGAACTTTGCAACAGGCTTGAGAATAATTTTGTAACCTTTAAAACAACTAGGTTTTGAAAATTCTTTACAAAAATTATTTTTGAAGGTAGCAATATATAAATTCTTAGTTTTTTTCCCCTACTACTCCACCCTAGGAAGGTTCCAATTTGTCTTACAACTTTTCTTCTTTTGAATATCTAAAAATATGAAATAAGTCTCATTTGCCACCTAATAACAAAAAGTTTAACTAAAAAAACAAACAAAAGTTATCTTTGAATCTAGAAGTAATTATCTTCAATTTCCTTACTCCTATTCTTGTTTATATCTGTTAATTTCAGGCCTGAGAGTTTGTCAGACTCCATAAGAGGTCTGAAGCATTAAAAAAGTGGTGGCTTAATATGCGTCTGAGATTTCATTACTATAGTATAAATGAGCCCACTAAAGTAAAGTTTATTTAGACTCTACACCAAAGATGTGGTGGTCTTCTAGAAATGCTTTTTCTGAAATGGCACCAACCTTAGGAATGTTGTAGGATTTTTGTTCATGCTGTTGAAATTGGGTTTTTGGGGGGATGGGTACTATACCTGCCCTTTTAGGAAATAAATTCTGAAGTAAATTGAGAAGTCTGGCATGAGCAGGCCTGTAATCCTAGCACTGTGGAGGCCAAGGCAAGAGGAGTAGGAGTTTAAAGCCAGCCTGGGCTACATAAGGAGACTCTGCCTTATAGAGGGTTGGTTGGGGTAAGGGGTTAATACTTCTAAAGTTGTTATAAAAGGAGGATTCTAGGTGATCAGTTTTCCAAGTCCTTTAAAAACAATATCTGGAAGTCATGTTCTACTTCCAGAAATTAAAAATTACTTTTAAGTAATTAAAAATTACTTTTAAGTAATTTTTTTCTTTGTGGTGCTGGAGATCAAACCTAGGGCCTTGGGATTGCTAGGCAAGTGCTCTACAATTAAGCAATACCGCCCAAGCCCTATTATATAACAAATATTTTTAATCAAAACAATGATTAATACATATGGCACTTGGTAGCATTTTCATTAGTTTTAGTCTCTCTGTGTGTGATGTGAACTTAAAGTATATATACTTATTAAATATATGTACAGTTTTTAAGATTATGGTACACAGTGCCTTGTATTCAAATATATCATTTTTTGATGTTCAAAACAGTAGACCAAAACAATTAAATTAGTACCAAAATGTATAAATTGCTTACAGATTTGCTTAAATTTGTTAGTTAGCTTCTCAGTATCTAGAATAAAAGGGAAATAATTGCTTATTCAGTGCCCATATAATAGAACAGTATCTTTTGCCATTTCCTCAAGGGAACGTTTTCCCAGTGCTAAGGAAAGCCCTCATAAAGGAGACATAGTATTGTAGTGAACAATGTCTTCCACATCTCATGAGCAAATATAATTATGTTTTTATAGGATTTGTAGATTCTGTAAAGACGTTCTACTGTTCTACTTAGAATAAATGCGAGTTTGAAATGCTTGAGTGGTTTTTCTAATCCAAAATTAACAGTTTGAATACCTATCCAAGCCCATATTGTTCTGAACTCTCAGAAGGGTTTTGTTTGACCACACACCTTGTGTGCATATTTGATTTGGAATTTCCCTGTCTCTGGGCAGGACTTTGTACCTTCCATTTTGTGCTCTACTTTGACTTGAAGCTACCAATCTGTTTTGTATTTGGGTCCTGAAAGTATTTACACTTAGAACCCTTGATCTATAGGTGTGTGTATGTATGTACGTATGTATATATACATATATATGTGTGTGTGTGTGTTTGTGTGTATATACTGTACTTTATACTTGTAAGATAAATTGAACATTACTTCTCACATATGATCCTGTGATAAAAACTTGATGGCAAAGATCTTGAAGGGACTATATCCTCTGCCTGATACTTACAGATTCACTATCAAGTGGAGCATAAGATGGCATTCTATGTTTCTTCTGAGAACTGAAAATGGGTGACCATTTTACTGCATAGAGGCCAAGGGAGGCCATGTTTTCCCCCAGAAAACAGCTCTGCACTCACTTTATCATACAAACAGATGAGTCAGATTCCAAAGTTTAAAGATAATCTACACTGTAGATACACTTATCTACAGAAATTTTTAATTATATAAGTGTTTTAGTTCATTTGTTCCAGCAGTTTTCCATGACTGTAAAAAGTTTTTTTAATTAGATTGATTCACCTAATTTAGGCATTATAAGTTTTTTGTTGCCCTCTAAGATAAATTAGCTTTAACATGAATCTCTGTGTAACTGAATGATTTTGACTTGCTTTATGGAATGGATGATTACATTGAAGTTAATTGTTTGGAAATAGGTATCAGATTGATATCAATCTAGTTTCCTAAGTCTTTATTTTTTAAAAGTAAGTAATAGATTCAATTACCTATTTACAGAAGACTACTTCTTTTACTGTTCTCAATGTCAAGGTGCATCATGGCATGCGATTACCTTGTCTAGATGTGGTTCTAATTTAAATAGAACCAGATCCAGCTGCATGGTGATACCTGCCTGTAATCCCAGCACTCAGGAGGATGTAGCAGGGGAATTGCAAGTTCTGGACTACAATGGGCTACATAGTGAGCCTGAGGCAAGCTTGGGCTACGTAGTGAGACCCTGTCTCAAAAACAAAGAGCCAGATTCAAACCCTAATGTTCCATTTTATAAAAATGAAGTGGCACTTTTTATCATATGCTCTTATTGTTGGTATAATACACTGTGTGCTTATGTATAGTTTAAGAAATAAGAAATATGAGCTGGTAAAGAGTCATAAAGGAATTTTGTTAAATTATATTTATTAACAAATTGCAATAGGAAAGAGAGCTTGAGGCAAACAAAAAAGAAAAAGTGAAAGAAGCTCAACTTGAAGCTGAAGTGAAATTGTTGAGAAAAGAGAATGAGGCCCTTCGTAGACATATAGCTGTTCTCCAGGCGGAAGTTTATGGGGCAAGACTGGCTGCCAAGTACTTGGATAAGGAACTGGCGGGAAGGTCTGTAAAAAATGAGTATGCTTGTATTCATAGGTGATAGATTAGATATTTGATGAGATTGATTCTTAACCTCTTGTAAATGAACCATTAATTTTTGCCCTCAGAACTATTTTACAATTGGTTATAGCTTATTCTTGTTGAATTGTTATTGACAGCATTATATATTGCATATTTATCCATACCAAATAAGTGTGGTTTATACATACACACACACACACACATACACCCACACACACCCACACACTGATAGTAACTTATTGTGAAAAGCTAACACCTCTGCAGAACAGTAATTTCCTGCCTTGACACTCTAATAGATGATGTTCTCGTAATGAGCAATTCTTTCTGTTTTTTTTTTTTGTTTTTTTTTTTTGTGGTACTAGGGATTGAGCTCAGGGCCTCATGCACCTTTCTGATTTCTTGCCCCTCAAAAAACATGTTGGAATTAAATTAACAAAAGTGACAAAAAATGAGTTCTGCTGGCATTAATTTTGTTAAGTCAGTTGTTCACAAACTTTGGTGATTTATTATTTAACGGTCATTTATTATTTTATGGTCATTGTTTTAATGTTACATTGAGAGCTGATGTGAAGCAAAGAAAAAAGTTATATCATGTTGTAGTACAAATTTTCTAGTAAGATTATCACATTTAAAATAGTCATTTTATAAAAAGCAACTGTCAGTAGAAGAAACGTTTTTGGTACAATGGCATCCAAAAGCTAATATTTAATAGTGTCGTGTCTGAGTTTATTCAGTTACCTCAATTTATACAAGATGTAAAATATGTTGACATTATAATCTTGAAAATGTTTTTTAGATATATTTGAATTAAGCGCATCACTAAAGGAGTTCTCATTCATTTCTAAAAAAAAAAAATTCAGTCAGGTATGGTGACTTAAGCCTGTAATCCTAGCTACTTGGGAGGCTAAGATCAGGAGGATCATAGTTCAGGCCATGAGTTCGAACCCTAGTGCTGCCCCCCCAAAAAATATTTTAATGTTTTTTCACTTGAAGATATCTATCCTTTTCAGATCTTAATAAATCTGAAAGACATCAGGCAGCTCCTGAATATTAGTTTTATTACAATTATTTAGTTTATTACAATTGAGATTTATGCAAAAAAGCTACTTATGTTCAGTAATTCTTCTGAATTCTCTTTATAATCAGCTTAGTAAAAAACTTAACTCTCTTCCCACCATGAAGGGTTCAACAAATACAGTTACTAGGACGAGATATGAAAGGACCTGCTCATGATAAGCTTTGGAACCAGTTAGAAGCTGAAATACATTTGCATCGTCACAAAACTGTTATCAGAGCCTGTAGAGGACGGAATGACTTGAAGCGACCCATGCAAGCACCCCCAGGCCACGTATGTTCCTTTGCTGCTGCTTCTCTGCTCACCCTCTTCTTCTTGCTTTAATTACTACTTAATTTCTATTGTTTCTTTTCTTCTAGTAATATTTAAATAGTAAAAATGAAATTCACCTCATTTTAAACAGATACATATTTAAAGTTTCAGTAATTCAGTTTTGGTAGTTTTTCACAGACTTGCTGATGCCCTGAGAGTGATATTTCTGCAGATAGTGAGCCATTGCTAGCAAAAACATACTGCTAGTTCATATTTCAAAATGTTCCTGAATCATGATTGGACATGCTTAAATTTATGTTAAGCTTAGCTGAGAGTGTGTGGTCATTTTGACAAATTGGTAACTTTTGGAGAATTTTTGGTAACTAAATCCATATGTATATTCCAAACTAATATTTATTTATACCTGTTTGGTCTTGGATTAAGATAGAATTTGTTATCTTTGCCCAGTTGTGTGCTTCTATAGCCCCCACTTTCAGGAGCATTCCTTTCTATCTGGATGAATCTTTATTAACTAGTTTTACAACAGATGCTTACTATATGCAGCCTTTCTACCTCTTACCCAGTGGCTCACATATCTTAGTTCCAGATAAAGTATGGACTTAAACAATAAAACAATTTGTTGCCTCCACAAAAAATATTGTAAGAAAAATGTGTGTACGTAGAATTGGTGGAAGAGGAATGGGAATTTCAGTGTACACTTATGTCATTGTCTTGTCTAGGACACTGGTGGTCCCCATTAACTTCTAGGTCCAGTACATTTGGAAGGTGGAGCAATTAGGAGGAAGACAGTAGTTAGTGTCAGACACATCTGGGTTATCAAAGTTCACCCAGATAGATTTCATGAAAGCAACTAAATATGAGGCTGAAATCTTAGGCAGTTGCCAGCTGTCAAAACTACTTTCAAATAAAGGAGTCTTAGCTTTAATCTGATGGTCATGGGACTTTTAAATAAAATAGGCGCATAATACTGTGGAAATGTGCCCGTTCACTCAGTCAGAAAGACATTATGGTAATCCAAGGAGAAAGTGAGGAAAGCAGGGGAAGTGTCATTTGAGAAGTCCTTGACAACTACTTGTTAAGTAGCTGAGTGAGAAGGAAGAATCTGGGTCTTTGGTTTGGCCATCCAAGTGTGATCTGCCTTTCATTGATCAAGAAAATAGAGGAAAAGGAAGTCTTTTGGGGAGAAAGATGGAATTAGTAGAATTTGAGGTACCACTGACATCTAAGAAGTCCATCCAGTTGGATATATGATTGGAATTCTTGAGAGAAGTCTTGAGTTGAGGAAATATTAGGGAAGCTATTCATCTATTATAATTAAAACCATGGAATTGAACAAGTTACCATGGAAAGTATGTACAAAGTAAAAAGCATAAGAGGCAAGGATGTAATCTTACGGTGCGAAGGAAGAAAATCAATCATCAAAGGAAGAAGCCTGACATTGAGTTGTCAGATATAAACCATCTAGGAAAGTAGTGTAATAGAAACTGAGGAAAAGAGCAGTGTTCAATACAGGATGGTGACCAGTGTCAACTTTCTACAGGGTTCCAGTAAGATTGTGACTAAAAAGTGTTAATTGGATGTAGCAATATACCAGTGGAGCAGATTAGGGGTAGAACTTTAATTATTGTGATCAGAGTACTGATTGTGGGAAGCAAGGAAGTAAATACAATGAATATGAACTTCAGGTAGAGGTTAAAGAAGGAGGGAGGAAATTAGATGCTTAAGAAGATACTGGAGGGTTGAAGGGTTTTGTTTTGTATTGCACAAAATATCTTAAAGCTGGAAAATTCTTACAGCTTGAGTATCTGCTGAGTGAGAAAAGAGTTTAGTAGAGAATGAAAGAATAAAGATGCCAGAGAGGACTAGGGTTATGACTCAGTGGTAGAGCACTTTCCTAGCATGCAAAAGGGCCTGGGTTAGATCCTTGGAACCGAAAAACAACAAAAACAAAACAAAAAAAATACCAGAGAAAGAATGATTAATGGAGCAAGGTCTTTTACTTAAGAGGTAGGCTCTAGTGCAACAGGGAATGAAAAAGTAATTAAGGCTCAAACTGGAAATTTGTTTTTCAGTTCTATAAATCACTTGAAATTGATGTAAATCTTTTAAGATATTTTCCAGTGAAGATAGTCACCTGCTTTATTTCTTAAAGATACTTGTTCATTAATTCTTGATAATATCTTTCATAATAACCTACAATTTTAAAAAATGTATGTACAATTTTAAAAAATTGACAAAAGATGAGAAAATCTACAAATTTCACCATATTAACAGAATAACATTTTCATTTTTCCATTTTATCTATTAATTACTTTCTTAGTGCTGTGCTATATGTCTATAACAAGAAATTAATAAAAATTTCTTTTTTTTGTTTTAAGTTTTAGCAAGGATTTATTTTAGTATAACATGATAAAGTATAGGTGGGGGGGAGTGGAGAAAAAGAGAAACATTTCCTACCCTCATGCAGAAAATGGGAGCAAAGACTCCAATAAAGATTTCTTAAAGCAAGTTATGTAGCCTGAATTGTATTCTATTTGGTATGTTATTTAAATAAGACTAATTTTTTTTTCTTTTTTCCCCCAATAAGGATCAAGACTCCTTAAAAAAAAGCCAAGGAGTTGGTCCAATTAGAAAAGTTCTCCTCCTTAAGGAAGATCATGAAGGCCTTGGCATTTCAATTACAGTAAGAAGTAGTGCTTCTAGTTTTCTTTTGTACATTTATCTAGTACAGCCATGCTCTTTTATTGGGCATCATTTGGGAAAAAATATTCTAGATATATTTTATAAGTCATATAAGTTTATCCAACACTTGGGCAACACTTGTGTAAACATTTTTTTGTACATAATTGTATTAAATCTTCCTAACAACTGTTCAGCGTTTCTTTAACAAGTAAAGTTTTTTCCATCATGACTTAACTTAAAATTCTGTACTATGTATTGTGATGATTTTAGGAGCCTTTGGGAATAGGTATGGCTGTTTCCTTTTTTGTTAAATAGCTCTAGATGGTATTGTTCTTCCCTTGTATGTGTCATTCTTAGCTGTGAGATTTCACTTAATCTTTGTTAATCTGATACCTTTACAGACAGTTATCTTTTACAGTATTCCTGAGAGTAATCTATTATATAGTGGGAGTCATTTTGTTTTAGTGTTAGTGCTTTACTGAATAAGGTAGCTTTGCAGGCGTTTGTAAGTTCAGTTGTTTTCTGGTAGTGCTTAATACAGCAATGTTTCTTTTTGGTTTTGGTGTTGGGGGTTGAACCCAGGGCCTCAAACATGCTAAGTGAGTGCTGTACCATGGTGTTATACACCCACCTCCAGAGAGACATCTTTGTTTTGTTTGTTTTTTGGCAGTACTGGGTATTGAACTCAGGGCCTTGTGCTTGTTAGGTAAGCACTCTACCACTTGAGCAATGCCCCACTCCTAAATATCTACCCTTTTTGATCCACTGTCCACAAAGTGCATAAATTTTACTATAAGAAATAATACACATGCATACAAATTAGGAAGCAATGAGTAGCAATTACTGTATTTCTTCAGTTCACTTTGCATGTTCTTTCACATCTTAACATCTCTGAAGTTGAGATTCATCTTGCAATCTTAAAAATTATTTTGTGTGGTAAATAAAATAGTTGATCTTAACATACATAGCAATTTAGATTTAATAAACTAGTGCTATGACGTTCAAGTATATAAATTTTAAGTTGAAGCTATTGTAATTTATGTGTGTGTGTATAAGTATATTTGTAAGTGATTTGGGGGGCTTTTGGAGGGAGGCATTTTGGTGTTTTTGGCTCTGTAGTGTTTTTAGAAAAGCACATGTTGTTAATCATTCTACCCAAGGGTAACTCTTTGATCTTCATGATAGTTTTTTACCATTACCTAAGTAACAAATAAAATCTCACCCAATGATTATAGAGACTTTATATAGATGTTTATTGAAATATGTGTGATATTTATTGAAAGATATTTTTTAAAGAAAATGTTTTATCTCTAAGATAGACTGCAGTTTGTAAAGCATAAACTAATTTACTGCCTTTTTCTTGTCAGGGTGGGAAAGAACATGGTGTTCCAATCCTCATCTCTGAGATTCATCCAGGGCAACCTGCTGATAGATGTGGAGGGCTACATGTTGGGGATGCTATTTTGGCAGTCAATGGAGTTAATCTAAGGGACACAAAGCATAAAGAAGCTGTCACCATACTTTCCCAGCAGGTAAATTGCCTTCATTGTAATTAAAACTGTATCTACCAATTGGTTCTTAATGAATACTTCCCTCTGAAGTTTTTCAAATAGTAAAGTGTTTTGGTACACTTTTTTCCTTTGATTTAGAATTATTGATGACATTTGGCCAGATTTACTGAAAAAGGACCACTTTGTTTACTCTTTTCCATGGCTACATAACTTTGAATAAATTGCTTAAGTCCTCTGAGCCACAGTCTTTGCATCTATGCAATAAGGATTGAAATAAAGCTGAAGGAGTGTGCTAATACTCAGAACAGAATATGGCACTTAAAAAGCAACATCATTCATAGGAGGTATTGTAGAATGAACAATACTATAAATGGATTGGTTTTAGTCGTAGAAAATTCAACTGAAAAGGATCCTTACAACTCACCTAGCCCAACTTTCTTATTTAAAATTAATAAACTCTAGTTCTTAGAGATTAAAGGATTTGTTCATGGTTACAATGCAAATAAATTATAGAACTGGATTTTTTAAATAATAGTTTATTATTGCTATGTCTCTCCCAAGAGAATTCCAACAGGGCAGGAATGTTCTTTGCTAAGAAATGTATGTGCACAGCAGGCATTGTGGCACATGCCTACAATTCTATAGAATTGAAACTTATGTCAAAGAGTCATATTTGTTATTCAGTGAACTTAAAAACTTTTTTCCTCCTTTGAAACTAGGGATGAGGGAATGAGATGTTGGTAGTACAGCAAGATGTTTCTGGGATCATCAATGCAAAATGCTGGTATAGAAATGAATCTTAGTTGAATGTGAATTTATATCTCATTAGCTCATCTCTTAATGATGCATAAATCTTCTCTACAACATCACTACTTAAACAGTTGTGTTAAAGGGAAGATTGTCTGATCATAAAGCAATCCATTTCATTATTGTACATTGCTGAGTTTTAGAAAGGTCATCCTTATATTAAATTCTGTGACTACCCACAGGTCTAATTCTATTTATTATCCAGAATTTCACTAAAAACCACTGTATTATCTATCTCTCTCCCAAGATGTTTTTTTTAAAAACATTTTGATAAGACAGATTTAAGAAGAATACTACTGTAATCTCTTTAGTTAGTGTTTTCTCAATCCAATATGACTATTATCCAATAGCACAAGAGTGGGAAAAATTGCAGCTATGGTAAAGGAGCTACAGACAAGCAGTTATAAGTCTTAGGAAATTTTTAAGCACATATTAAAATTCTCAGGTATAATCTTAAACTGCTGGAAAAGAAGAGCAGCAAAGAAACTAACTTAGTGGTTGGCAGTCAAAAATGGCATGTTTTCTTTGGAGAAAAGGCAGGCCTTAATTTTCAGAGAGTTGCAAACCCCATACTTGTATATAGTGATTGTAGTCTCTTACTCAATGACAATTTTAGCTTGATATTTTTTTTCTTTTATTCATATGTGCATATAATGTTTGGGTCATTTCTCCCCCTTTCCCCCTGCCCCCACCCTTACCCCCCAGCCCCCTCCCTCTCCCTCCCACCCCCTTGCTACCAGGCAGAAACTATTTTACCCTTATCTCTAATTTTGTTGAAGAGAGAGTATAAGCAATAATAGGAAGGACCAAGGGTTTTTGCTAGTTGAGATAAGGATAGCTATACAGAGAGTTGACTTGAATTGCTTTCCTGTGCATGTGTGTTACCTTCTAAATTAATTCTTCTCAAGCTAACCTTTTCTCTAGTTCCTGGTTCCCTTCTCCTATTGGCCTCTTTCGCTTTAAAGTATCTGCATAAGTTTCTCTGCATTTAGGGCAACAAATTAGCTTGATATTTTTTAACATAAAAAACTTTGTACTTGAAAGTAAAGTTGTTATTAAAGGATAGAAGTAAAAATATTATACATTTAGTCTAGCATAGGAGAAAGAACAAAGACTTCAGAGTAAAATTTATATTTTTCTGTGTACTCATTCATCAGATTGGGAAAGTTACCTGCTTTCTCCGGTACTCACTGGGGTTTCTCATTCATACAAAACAGACTACAATAGGATTATTCTAAGGATTGAAGGCCATAATTTTGCACAATAAAGATAATAATTACTATTATTACTAGACTGAACACTTTGATTAGAATTATGACTGGTATTCAGTGAAAATTAAGAAAAGGTACAAAAGTTCTTTAGTAAGAAACAATGAATCATTATGTAGAGATTTCTTGAACTAGTAAGAATTTTGTGTGATACTGTTACCTCACTTGGTGGATGGATTTGCTAAATTGCACTGTGAAGTGCAAAATAGCAAAAATGACTTAAAAACTGAATGCATTTTCTAAAATTCTTAAATTTGATAGTTAAGCATCCTGATTTTAGATCCGGTTGCAAAGTGTCGTGATTGGTAGAAAGAACTACTGTAAAACCAAAAGGAAATTCCTTATAGAGAAGATTCATGGAGTTGGTCTGGACATCATAGCCTCTTCTTCACTTTCTTCTCTTAAGATTATAGAATTTTGGGCTGGAGGTATGATTCAAGAGATAGAGCATTTACCTCACAAGTGTGAAGCCCTGAGTTCAAACACCAGTACCATCAAAAAAAAATGTTGTCTGGAAAAGAACAGTGTCTGTATTCTCGTTATCCCTGAGCCTGTCCCCAAACATTTTTGAAACCCTGTTTTGATTATAATTACAGCAACTTGACTTCCTTATTTTCATTCCTTGTTTTAGAGAGGAGAAATTGAATTTGAAGTAGTTTATGTGGCTCCTGAAGTAGATTCTGATGATGAAAATGTAGAGTATGAAGATGAGAGTGGACATCGTTACCGTTTGTACCTTGATGAATTAGAAGGAAGTGGTAATCCTGGTGCTAGTTGCAAAGATGCAAGTGGGGAAATCAAAGTGTTACAAGGTAAAAAAATCACTCAAAAGTTATTATGAATATATTAATAAATTTTTAAAATGCATAAGCCTCAGGTATTCTTCAGTAATGCTTTTTTTTTTTTTTTGGTGGGACTCATGTTTGAACTCAGCTTTGCACTTGCAAAGGAGGTGCTTTATCTCTTGTGCCACATCCCCAGTCCATTTTGCTCTGGTTATTTTGGAGATAAGAGTCTCATGAACTGTTTGCTCAGACTGGCCTTGAACCATCATCCTCCTGATCTTAGCCTCCAAAGTAGCTAGGATTACAAGCATGAGCAGCCACCAGTGCCAGATAGTAACACTGTTTTAATGATGAGAAAATTAAAAGAATGAGTAGCTTTCCCTTGCTTATACTATGCTGCAATTTTATTTATACATATGTTTCCTACATTTATCTTGGACTAAGATACTTGAAAAATAAAATTCAGACCTTCTAGACTCTGAAAGACCAACAACACCTTCTAGAGTAGATAAATCTTAACGTAGCCTGCCTTAATACATTCTTCTCTCGTTGCAATGGATTGTACAATGTTTTATAGGGTGTGTGTGAATAAGTGGTTAAACTGATGTCTTATGATTATTACTTGAATCAGGATATGTGATCCTGAGGATCTTTGGTATAGTTCCATTGTTACCATGTACACACATTAATGAAAAATTCTAGCATTTTCTTTTAGATAGAGCAGTGGTTCTGAAATTATGGTCCATAATGTCTGTGAGTCCCTGAAACCTTGTGAGGTGGGGTCCATAAGTCAGAGCTTTTCATAATGCTATGACATCATTTATCTTTTGGTATTTGCACTGATGGTACAAAAGCAATTGGGGTAAAATGCCCGTTCCTTACCACCAGTCAAAGTAGTTTCACCCAACAGTGATAGTGATCATTGTTTTCTTCCTTGCATTCCACTCATGGTAAAAAGAAAAAAAAAAATACAGAAAATGCTAGTTTTATTTAAGCATGTCTTTGGTGAAACAGAACTTTATTTTTAAATTAAATTTGCAGTTGGGGGATGAACTATAAAAACTATTGATCCTTGAATGTATTGCTTTTTTTATTTGTTTGTATTATTGGAGATTGAACCCAAGGCTTCGCTCATGCGAGGCAAGCCCTCTACTTCTTGAGCCTTGAGTGATGCCCCCAGCCTTCCCCTTCAGCCCAAACTGTGGTTTGAATTTAGGGCCTTGAGTACTCTACCACTTAAGCCATACCTCCTGCCTGCCATTTTGTCCTTGAGATGAGGTCTCACTACCTTTGAATCCAGGCTGACCTTGAACTTGGAGTCATCCTGCCTCTGCCTCCCAAGTAGCTGGAAATACAGCCATGCATCACCATGCCAGACTGCTTTTTCTTTTAAACATTCCTTGCCTAAGCCCTAATGCTAGCTGTCTGAGTACATTGTATTTTTGTTATATTTTGTTGTTTTTTTAAGACAGGGTCTCACTCTGCAGCTCAGACTGGCCTTGAACTCCCAATCCTCCTGCGTCAGCCTCCACAATGCACCACCATGCCCAGCTCTGGAGTGTATTGCTTCTTAGTATTCCTTGTGGTAAGAAGCACATATACATAAAGCACTTATCCAGGATACTGAACAAAGTTGCTTGTCTCAAGGAAAAGTACTCAACTGATTATTATCAGAGTAGCTGTTTTCATGGAAGACATATTTTACCTGAAAGAACGACAAATCATGGTTATTCAGACTGTTTCTCAGGCATTATTTAAAAAATGAACAGTTAGTCCCTCACTTCACCGAAGACAGCTCACAATATTTGTGGCCTGTAATCAAATGTGAGTTTCAAGTAAAAATTAGAATTTTGTAAAACATGCATCAGTCACTGTAAGCTGGGCAGCTTCCCAGCATTTAAGAACTTTCTTAATGAAATTTATGGTGATATTAATGAATGTAATTTTTTGATACATTGATTGTGTCAAGTTTTGAATTGCTACATAGTCTGGAAAGACTTTTTTCAGATGACTGGTGTATGATGTTACAAAATTGTGCATGAGTAAGCATTCAAAATGCAAGATAGGCAAGTGGATTTTATTTTATTATACATTTTCTTTTTTTGATGGTACTGGGATTTAGTCTCAGGCTTCACGCTTGCTAGATAGGTGCTCTGCCACTTGAGCCACACTTCCAGTTTGCAAATGGGTTTTAATATAACATTGATAAGGTCTCAAATTCCACATTGCCAGGTTTTGGTATAATATCAAAGAACATTGACAGTGTGTTGGAAGGGCTATTAAAATATTCTTCCCTTTCCCAACTATATATCTATGTGAGGCTGACTCTTGCATGCACTTAATAAAGCATTGACCAAAAGTACAGATGAGACTTCAGCTGTCTCCTAAAAGCCAGATACTAAGGAGACTTAAAAATTGGAAAGCAATGCTAGTCTTCTGATTAAAAATTCTTTTTGTTTGGAAAGTAAGAGTTTTCATTAAACAAATATGTTGTTTATGTTAACCTTTACTAGATTGTCATTTTTAACACAATAATCTTAGATTTCTCAGTTTTAATTGCTAATATGGGAAACAGTCACTATAATCCACACAGACAGAAGCTGTTTGGAGACCTTAGTGCTTTTTAGAGTGTAAAGGCATCCTGAGACCAAGCAGTTGGAGAACTCATGGCATAGAGTTATATAGTGAACTCTTGGCCATTTGGTAATCCTGTGTGTTATTGTGTACAAAATTCACCAATAGCAATTATTTTCTCTCCATGCATCTTAAGTAAAACTTTTGTGGCATTATGTCAGAACTTTTTGTGGCATTATGTTGAGCTACTCTCCCCAAGGTCTGTCTTTCACCCTTTCTGCTATCTTCTGTCAGGGCTAGGCTTGTTCCTTTCTTTGTTTTGTTTTTTTGTTCTTTGTTCTTTGTTTTTTGTTTTGTTTTGTCTGCAGATGAAGCTAGAAGGCTTCTCTGTCCCTTTGCAAAGTACATGTACTTAAAATGTGACACCAGTAGCCAAGTGCCAGGGGCTTACACCTGTAATCCTACCTACTTGGGAGGCTGAGATTGGGAGGATTGTGAGGATTGTGGTTTGAGGCCAGCCCAGGGAAATACCTTGTGAGATTCCATCTCCAAAATAACCAGAGCAAAATGGATTGGAACTGAGACTCAAGTGGTAGAGCACCTGCTCTGCAGGTGTGAGGCCCTGAGTTCAAATTGTAGCTCCACCCAAAAAATAAACTCCAGACTACACTAGATAGTATAAAAAAAAAAGTGACTCCACCAAAAATGTATGCCATGTGCTATATCACAATTAACTGACCCAAATCACAAAAAGTTGATCTAGTAGTTATTATTTAGCACATGTCCTTACTTCTTAGCTCACATAATAAGGGATGTAGTCAAATTTTATTGATTTGATTTAAAAGTCTAACATCTCATAGATTAACCAAAATTAGTTTTAATTTTTAGCTATACATTATCTTACAACAAACTAGATTTTTAGCAATGAATTGAAATTACATAAAATGAAAGCAAAAAGGTAAAATAAAATATTCATAATTCAATAGGTATTATGTGTAAATATAGTTGACAGAATTTTATGATTCAGTCAACCCTAAGTTTCATAGATAACTTGATAGAAAATGTTATACAGTTTTAGATAGGTTCAATAGATAATACTTTAAAATATATACAGTGCTTGATATCTACTATAAGAAGGAAAAATTCACTTGTTAGGAATTAGTAATTTGCTGGGTGTGGTGTTGCATGCCTATAATCCTGGAATTTAAGATTGACAGTTGGAGGCCAGCTGAGCTACATAGCAAGACCCTACCTATCTCAAAACAATAATTATTAATTTGTTTAGTAAAACCCTGTTATTCTGGCTCAGTACTGCTAGTTACAGAATTCCTTTGGGTTTTTTGCTCAATAAAATGATAAAACTAGGTGTATTTTTTGACCAGAAAGTATTTTCTTTTCCTTTCTTTTAGGATATAATAAGAAGGCAGTAACTGAAGCACATGAAAATGGAGACATGGGAACGTCAAGTGAAACTCCACTAGATGACAGTGCTTCAAAGTTAGATGATCTGCACAATCTGTATCATAAGAAATCTTATTAAATTGACTCTTCAGACAAGATCGTTAATCAGACTATTTTGAATTTGGGCACTAGGGAATATGGTGACAAAGACTATACAAGATCAAGGGAGGCTGTTTGTTGCCTAAAGAAAGGCGGGTACCTCAGGGCTTCATGTGAACAATTCTAAGTGCATAAAAAACCCTGTTTTCTGTGGGATATCACAATTAACTGTTGCATGTAAAGCAATTTTGATTTTCCTGGAATTGTAAGCACCAAAGCATGTGTTTTCCAAAGGGATATTACTAGACTCTTAAGTACCGAATGAAGTGCTACTGTTTTATTTGGTTCTTTTAATATTTAATAAAAGGACAGTGCTAACTGGAATTTTATAAGAAATAGCCTTTAAATACAAGAGAGTAAATGAATTCATATTATATATTCCATAATGTTAGCTGTGGAGTTTCAAAAGACAGACTCAACTCAGTAAATCGCAGAAATGTAGTTTGGCTTTTGTTTAACTAAATGGTTTTAGTTTTAAAAAATTGTGCATCTTGATGCACAACAACCTAAATCAGTTCTTCATGATCATTTGCTATGAGTTCTCTTTCCAGCTTTATTCAGTGCAGTACAAAACAGTTTTGTTTAAGCAATCCTTTATCAATTAATGCTGCAGTAGAAATGGCTTCTGAAAAGTTACTGGACATTTTGCTTTAGATTTTCAAAAGAAGTGCAGATGAGTGTACTGTTCTCAATTATGTTGATCTGTGTGCATGTTGTTTGAGCATTGTGCTATTAATTGTTTTGTCTGAAATGTTTATTTTCTGGAATCCACAAAAGACAGTTTTATACATTTTGAGTTGTTCATAAAGTTTTCCTTGTTGTGATAAGTCCTAGCAGAAAAGGCTCAAATTTATTGCTATGTCATGAAATACATTGTATTCATGCAGCAGTTTTCTCTAAATACCTGATTTGCCAATCATCTAAAAAGCTGGGGACTAAAGTTGACAAGATAAAGTGAAGATGTTTTGATACAGTAATTGTTTGGGTTTGGTTTTATATCAGTATATGTTTTTGACTGAAGTGTTTTTCATATGTAAGCTCTAAATTTGCTAGTTGTCTTGTCCCAGAATTAAGCACAGAGTGCCTCCTTGCTTTTTTAGGGTTCTGTAGGCCATCGTACCCTACTGGGCAAAATCAAAACATTGTATTTAAAGAGGCGATCATTTTTGCTAATGTCAGTGTTTTAAAGGCTATACATTTAAGGGAATATTAAGTGGGAGAAAGCCTACAAGGCTTTTAGAATATTATCAGTATATTCACTTATCATATTCCTATTTTTTCCCAAATGCACTATATATTTGTTAATGTTGAATCTATAAAATGTATATACTTTATTTTGTGATTTTGCTATTTATGAATTTAATGTTTTAACTGTTGCTCATTTATGGTTTATTGGTGGTTTTATTCCTATGTATATCAGTCTGTTAATTCGTAACTAGAAGTGCACTTCATAGTGTATATTGTTGCTGATATTAAAATACTTTGTAGCATAGCATTGCCTCTGAGCAAAAGTTAGTGTCTAACTGCATAAATGAATAAGCAAGTTACATATTAGTGTTTGCTCCTGACAGGCTAAGCCTCTTAAAAGAAAGATTTTTTTTTCCCTCATGCATTCCTTCCATGCCAAACACATACCCCATGCATGACATGAGGTCTGCAAACTGGATTTGGGGCAGTATACTCATTTAGTTAAAAAAAAAAAAAGAAATCCATTGTAGCAGATCTGAAAACTTTTTTGCTGTGACATTAAACCATGTTATTTTTGTTTCCTTAAAATATAGCCTGGAGGGAATGACCATGGCTTTTTTTTTTTTTTTACTCTGAGAATTTGCTTTATGTACTATGATTGAATCCTTGGGAAATGTAAACTAATTCTTTGATATGTCAAGACCTGCATAATATATTGACAAAAAGGGTGCTTTTAGAACCATAAATTGGCACTTTTGTGATTTGAAGGATTGTATGAAATGGTTATAATACAGATTCCTATCAAGGGCTGGTAAATAGAATGAATAGTTTTCCAGGTAGTGTAAAATTGACAGGTCAGTTTCCTTCACATTCCTCCTCCTTCATGGTTTGCAAGCATAATAAGAGAACTGTTGCTTAGATGCTTCTGTGAACTTCCTAGGAGGTATCAGAAAATACCTAGTTAAAAGTTCATTTTAGAATATATGATCTTTGGGAATGAAGTAGGAATGTAGACTTGTTCCCAATGCACAAACTATTTTTTGTAGTTTCACATTTGTGGTGGAAAAAGCCCAAATAGTACTGAAGCTTTTAGAACAAAGCCAAACAGATAAGAAGGGAACTGTTGCAAAGCTGTTACAATGAAAAAGTGAAAGAAAAATACATGCACACACAATAATAGTTGAGGAAAATTGTTCAATAGAGTGAGAATGGTTGTATATATATTTACACTTCTACAGTTACAAATATGATGGAAATGCAACATTTGGGTTGTGGGACCATTGTTGAAACAGACTTAGAAAAGATGAAAAGTCTTGTGGGTATTGGTAATTACAACTAAAAAGTTACAAAAAGTTAGCACAACTTGCTGATGGTGCTGGTTTTCTCCCCACAATGGACCTTTTTTGTTTTCATACTTCCAAACAAAAATATATTGGTTCACATGTAGGTTGTACATTATTTAACATCCTCATTATGTAATCTACTGTTACAGCCCAACCAGCCTTCCACTTAGGTTTGGCTCCAACTGTCTGGAATTTATGACAAATGTATTATATCTACTTAAGTTTAACATTTTTTATTAGCCTGTAAATAAACACAGCATCTTCTACAATAAAATGGTACTGATCTCATTTTAAGAAAATAAACGTTTTATGTTTCTTTCACATTAAATATTAAGGTTTATTTCAAGTAGCTTCTGTTTTTTTTGTACCAACATGACATGAACTCCATGCAGAGGCTGAATCTAGTTACTGTGGTAGAACAGTATGGGGAAGGGGTAAAAAGTGAAATTAACCTTTTAATCTTAAAAACTCTTTAACCTGAATTAATTTTTTTTAATGTTGTTTAAAAAGAACTACTATGGAATCAGTTTCCTGTTAAAACTTAGCAGATGGCAAAATCCCTGATCTCCTTGGTCAGTTTTGTGTTACAAATATTGGCAACTGATGTTATTTGTAAGGATGACATTAACAAAATTTTAAAAACCAGAGCTGGCGGAATGGCTCAAGTGGTAGAGTATCTGACTAGCAAACATGAGGCCAAGTTCAAACCCCAGAAGTAGAAGAAAAAAATAAATTACAAAACCAATCCTATTAGTGTTTAAGAGGATATTATTCTTAATATCTAAGTATATATAATTTAGAAGTTTTCAAATTGTATGTAATTTCTAGAAAATATAAATACATTTTAGACAGTGTCTTTATAAACATTTAGAAATATTTGCCTTTTGCATTACTTTTTGAATAACATTGATTTAGTTCTAATGTTTATATGCTTTCTCTGTGTGGGTTTGAGCTACCAGTTAGGAAAAAAATGCATCCTCATAAGAAATGGTTCATTTTGTGAGACATAAATAATGACTTTTGTTTTCATTACTAAATCAGTGTTCTGTTTTAGGGGTTTTATAATTAACTTTAAAAAGAGAACTTAAAAAGTATTGGAAATTACCATGTGCTCTTGGTGCTAAATATTTTGTTTGCTAATAAATCTTTTTTTCAGGTGTATTTTGAGAGCTGTAACCACCATGTGGCAGCCATGAAAATGCATCTCTTTCTCCAGCAGGGGAAGCATAGCTGTCTGAAGGCCTAACTGACACTCTCTGAAATTGTCCCTGTGTTCTCACTGAGTCTTCGCTTCTTTAGGATGCTACCAGCCAGTGACTGATCAGGACTAGGATCCTAGAACTTAGGACATTGTCTGGAGGACTCCCTGATGGTCTTGCCAAACTCCCTTTGGACTGCATCATAGCCTAAGTTGCTTTCACAAAACCTTTCTTCCTCTTCCTTTACTTGTAATCATACCTGCCTTGTGGTTTGTTGCCTCCAAGCTCCCTGTTTTTACTCATCAGCATTCCCCTAATAAATATTGTACAGTAGTGGATCCCTTTTTTGGTGTTCATATCTGCCTCCAGGAGAACCTTGACTAATACAAGTTAACCTAGAGAGAGATTTGAGGAAATGGGAGAGTAAATTGGGGATTAAGAGCAGGTTGGCCTCTCCCCACTACACACACCAAAGAAAAAAAAGCTGACTCATCTCCCATCAGAATGGTAAAGAGGATGACATCTGGGCTGGTAAGTGGAGTACCCATAGTACTGGGCAAGATCATGATTCAGTTGTTAAATATTTCACAAATGGTATTCAGAAAAACGATAACATAGCAGGCAACAACTTGTTCTTGATAGGGCTGCTTGTAAGGTTGGTATATACCAACTTGGATTTCAGGAATATATATGCCCACCATTCTGTAGCTGATAAGAATGGTTTACTTGCCCAAAATGTTTATACAAACACTAGGATATATGTTGGACACTTGCTTTTCTTCTGGGCATCTGGAATTTTAGTATATGCCAAGATAAAAGGTACATACTGACCCTTAGGCTCAATCAGGTAAGCTTCCCTGATGAACAACACTTTATTGTTACACATCATTGCTGGAGGAACTAAGCAATGCTGTTTGACTCCTTTGAAGGAAGACTCTTGTGCCTGGTTTCCTCTGGACTTTGCACATGTGCCTTTTTGCACATGATTTTGCTTTGTGTTCTTCTCTGAAATAAATCGTCTTAGGAGTATGGTACTGTGCTTAGTCCTGTGGTCCTTCTAGGAAATCAGTCAACTTGAGGTCTAGGAGACCTCAGACACAGGGAGTAACTTAGAAAAATGTCCCCATGAAGGATAATTCTCTTGGAGGTTTGGTGATGCAGGCATTCTTTGACATGTGAGGCTGACCTGGCGAAGTGGCTCAACTGGTAGAGCATCTGCCTAGGAAGTGTGAGGCCCTAAATTTAAACCCTAGTGTTGCTTTAAAAAAAAAATTTTTTTTTTAAAAAGTGGAGAGAACATTGTCTAGAAGAAAAGCAGAGTTGGCTGGTTACTGCTAGGTTATATTCATGACCTACAGAAAGAAAATGACTGAGGGCTGTGACCAACTTGTTAATGCCTCAATATGAGAGCCAGAGGTCCTCAGTGGGAGGGGATTTCAAGGGAGCCTGACCTCCTGCTATAGAAGTATTAAATCAGCTGAACTTTGGGCTAAACATCTAGTTGTTAAAGTGGCAGAGTTTTAGAGACTGGATGTTCCACCAGGGCCTTTCTATTTTGGAAAAGCCAGGGCCCTAGTGGGGAAAATCTAGAACCTTGAAACATGTCATGGGTTCATTGGTATGGATGCCCTTGAGGATGCTGACTGCTGTCACTACTGGATCCCTTGATGTTGCAGAAGTAGCCCACCCTTCCTAATAAGACCTAGTACCCTTCTATGAAACAAGGTGTTACAGAAAGCACTACCAACCACCCTCTCAAACCCCAAGGCATACCTCTTCTGGCCTCAAATTTAGGACTAAAGCCTATTATCATACCAGGCACGATAATGAAAAAAAAAGAGGATAGATGAAAAATGTTAGAATTAGCTAACATATTCTGGCAAGAGCTAATGGAGTAATCCTATGATTTAATTTTTACAGTGCTTGATCAAGGATTATGCTCATTAAAAAAAGAAGGATTGGCAGAGTGGCTCAAATGGTAGCAGGTGCAAAGTCCTAATTCAAACCTCACTACCACAAAAAAATAAAAAGAATTTGAATTGAGAAAAAAATTGGTTCAAACTGGAAGAAGTCCAGTAAGATAATGTTTACCAGGAACATACAAAGAAACAGAAAATTTGGAAGAAAGGGGAAAAAAAGATAAAATGGGTACATTTTCAAAGAGAAGTTGATATATTAACATAAGAAAATAGGCTTTAGGACAAAAATCATTAAAGGTAGAGATAACTTACTATTCATTTACTACAAAGCTAATGTGTGTGTATATAGATATACACACACATTAGTACTGGAGCTTTGTGCTCGCTAAGCAAGCACTTACTACTTGGGCCATGCCCCCAGCTGCTTTGTTTTTTGTCTTGCTAACTTCACTGTAGCTCCTTCCTCCACCTCCCCAGTAGCTAAGATTACAGGCATGTACTACCACTCCAAGAAAAATAATTTACTCTCGTATACACCTGTTTAAAATAGCCTCAAGGTACATAAAGCAAAAATTGATGGAACTACAAAAAAATTTTTAAATCTATCATCAGAGCTTGTAAAGTTTCAAAGAAATCAAGGAATATTTGAACAGCAAAGGCTTAACTATTCAAGTTGAGAGTGTATTTTTTAGCAAAAGCAAGAGCTCTAGCTTCTAAGTAGAAAAGTAGATTAACAGTCTATAACAAGGAAAGTTAGATAAATGTAAAACACACCGGAGCTTGGTTCTATGTTTTGGAAAAATAGAATTTGCAATTTGGTGAAGTGCCAGCAGGGGGCAGCAGATTCCAAAAGTGATACTAATTTAACCAATAGGGCTCCAAGGCTTTTTGAAGATCATAGTAATCTTATTCTGTGGATAAATTGAAGACTGTAGAAGCCATTTTTTAGGATCATTCAGCTGGTAAGTATCAGTCAGGCTCAAATCTCTCCCTTAATTCTACTTTAATAAGCCACAAAGAAGGAAAGAGAGCTAAAGATGAGATTGTAGGCTTTTCAAAGTCCTCTTTAATTATTTCATTTTAATTATTTTTCTTTTTCTTAAGTGGTACAAGGTTTGATCGTGATGGGTTTACATGTTCATGAGAA